CGTTAGGAAGTGCCGGGTGCAAAAGTATCAGCGAAAATTCAATTTCTAAATGAAAATGACTGAAAAGTGACAGCTTGTCTACCTGCTGTTTTCCCCGTCCACTGTTCTTGTTCCTCATCACTGTCAGAGTGGCTGTCACTTCCGTCCCCACTGGAACTTGAATTTTTCCTGCGCTTGCTTCTTTAAAACAAAAAAAGAGATAAAAACAGATGTCATCACAGACCAGTGACTTCGTCACAAAAATAACAAACGAACACAAAAAATGTAAGGACTATCTTTCCTTAGCAGACAGCTGCATTGAATTTTTCAAGTTTGTTGGACACTGGAAGTCACAATCCAAAGGTTTTGTGTAGAATTGTCCATGTTGTTTCTGTTATTGAGAAACTTTTTACACAGTCTTTGGACAAGGTACATGAACCTACCTTCACTGTCTGTGCTATGGCTGACATCAGAGTCATTTTCATCATAATCTGTGAGGCCAAACTCCTCCGAGCTAACAAAGTAAAGACAAAATAATGAAATAACTATTTAAGCAGCAAGACATAAGGACAGCAAAGAAAGACTGTGGTTCCTGGGAACCTTCCAAAATCCTCAAAAATCCTCTCAAGAATGGTACATTCTCCTAAATCCTATGGAGACATCAAGTCCCATGTGAAATCTGAGAGGCTGGGCTAGGCTCCACCTTTAACTTTCCTCAATCTTCCACAATCTCCGGGTGGATTTTGCAGGCTCTGGAAAGGTTGGCTATACGATGACAGTACAGGGGAAAATGAGTAAACTTGCAGGACTAACGTTCAGTTTCTCAATCCAGCTGGTCGTTGATAACCAGCATGATACTGGGAGACAACTTACCTCAGGCTCTGCTCTCTCCAGTGATGCTGCCCACACATCAGCCATTGCCAGCCACTCCTTGCTCCATCATCTTGTCTTACTGGCTTCCACCTACAACAAAAAAACCCTCAAAACAATGCATCTCTTCAGCTTTTGCTGTTGTAAGAGCAACATCCTTAAACTGTGCACCCCCCCTAACATGGGCGGAGAATAATTGAACTTGTTGTAGCACGGCTTGCTCTCTGACTGTGAAGTGACACGAAACGTCGACCATGTCAACAATGAACAAGTCTGTCCAAAAGTGGGGCAAATGCTAACATTTGTTCCTCGAAACAAGGAAAAAGTGAGCTTTCTGCAATTAGCAACTAATTGGGGATACAATGTAGCCCGGAAGTAGTGAATATATCCCATACTGGTGCAACCAACTCATAAAATTGGGCATGTTGGGTGTGTCGGATTTCATTATGTCCCCACCATGCCTACTTCGAGAACTCAAAGTCACTACTCCGTGTGAATTAGTGCAATTGGTTTACGTGGTGTCGTAATGCTATGGAATTTTGAAAAGTGCTTTGCCAGGGTCAGGTAGTTATACCTGAGAAAACCTCTGTTTACGCTTTCTGGAGCAAATCTACCCCTTAATTAGCTCCACTGAGTGGAGCGTTAGTATTCCTCTTTTTCAATTTTGGGACGGGATTGGTCATACTAATGCTCCACAACATATTAGTAAAGTGACAGAGGTTCTCAAAAATTCCAAAGACTCACCCACGATACCTTTTTAACCACCAACCGGCTTTCATAAATGCCAAAGGCAAACTTTTGGGACTTTAAGTGATATCTCCTTTGGCATTTACCGGTACATGTAAGAAAGCAAGTATGTGGTGAAAAAGTATTTTGGGTGAGTCTTGGAATATTTGAGAACCATTGTATCTTTACTAGATGTAATGTTGTGGGGTGTTAGTATGACGATCTCATCCAAAAACCAAAAAGAAGAATACTTACACTCCACTCAGTAGAACTTGGCCTACCCCTTGATGAATTCTACCTACATGTATATTGAACATCAGGGTTTGTGTGTATTTTGTAGAATTCAGCGTGCATACAGACATATGTCTATTGTTGTCCAAAATTTGTTTTCTACCATCCTCACCTCTCATTCCTCAATGAACCACAGACATCTGCATTCTCTTATGGCCGTACGCCATGTGACAAAAACAGATACAGCATATTCGCCTAAAATTAAATGTTTATGTTGCTTTGGATACCAGTCCCGATAATTCTGACTACTCTCATCAGCTCAGCTCATTCAGATTATGTATCGACAGATAGAGACGTCTGGGAAATCTGTGGTCAGGGAACCACACTTACGTGTATCACATATTGGCAAAGCACTTTTCAAAACCCCATAGCATTAAAACACCATGTAAACCAATTGGCAATTGCATTCACAGTCGACTATAGTCACACGGAGTAGTGACTTTGAGTTCTCGAAGTCGAAGTACACCACTATGCCCACATATACCTCATGACATACAAATGTATCCCGGATAAACTTGTTCCAATATCAATCGGGACAGGGCCCAGTATATGACGAAGGAGTATACGTCGGGCCCTATTTACGGGGCTACTGAACAATTAGCTTACCTTTACAAACATACCAAGGAATGTGTCAAATCTTGTGTTCAGTTTCTGATTTAAAATTTCATGCATGCAGCGGTGAGTGCACGTGATATAACAATTTTCCAATAACGCCCTCTTGTGACAAAAATTAGTAAGCCACCAATATTTAGCGCCCTCTATTGAAAAATATTATAGCGCCCTCTGTTGAACGAGTAGCGCCCTCTATACAGCAAAATAGCAAGATGACAACTTTAATAGCGCCCTCTGTTGGCTTGCAGTTGACCAATGTCAACTTATAGGCAACAGCGCCCCCATAACTTCACTGAAATGGGTACACTTTTGAGTATGGCGCCCTCTTACGAAATGTAAAAAGTTTGTCTTATTTTTTTCAATGGCTCCCCTCTATATTGACCTGATGATCGCCAGTAATCTGTGACTTTTTTCCAGTCGAAAATGCAAATATGATAGTAAAAGGCTTCCATCAACAAACACACAAGAAACACGAGTCCCAAAAGCAGACTGCCAGCTAGTGAAAATTAAACTAAAACTTCAAAAGCAACTGTCAAGGTATCCACTTCGTGTAATGCTGAGTAAAAGCAATCCATTATTTGGGTCATGAACCAAAGTGTTTAGTATACGAAAAACCTGATATAAACAAGATAATTTTTAATCTGCAACACATTTTCGACACCCTTCTGTCATTACATCCTCTAATTAATGTTCAAGGGCAAACTACACCTGAAAATATTTTACAAACCAACCATTATAATGCTTAGAATAATTTCTTTTTTAGACCAAACAGAACGCCTTTAAATTTCGAAGGTCATTCAAAGTGAATTTAAAAACCATGTGAAAAATAACGAAAGTCGAAAGGCTCAATTAACAACCGGCAAGCCGACGTTACTGGGGTTTCTAGAACAAAAGTCACTGTCTTGTCTTTCTCATTTTTGGTGGGTTTTTGCCAATAACACTTTTTAATTCACACAAAATAAATTCACCCCAAAAAGCAGATATTTCTGATAAAGCTGATTGCGCCGAAAAACGGCTTACTTTCTTAGGCAATGGGGACTGTTTTTCAACTCTGCGCTCGGTTGGGATATCCTAATCTTTTCCTCCCACAACGTTACCCCTCCATTTTGTTTGGCTAGCTGTCTCATTTTTTATGCTGGAGTTCTAACAAACCCCAGCTCTCCAATTTCTATGTAGTTTTACGAGTACCTTATTTGGAAACTGTTGGAAGCTTACACATTTATGGAAAACAGATTACGGATTTACCATTTTGTAAATGTTGGGGTA